TCACATCATTTATCATTTAAGGTCATTACACAACATCAAAGGAGTGTTAAGGAAACAAGACGGATTGGATTCTCTAACATGATATTGGCCTTAAGTAAGAACAATTCTATACCAAAGGCAAATAAAATATAAGGTTCGTTCATTAAAAATCTAGTTGATAATTAAAGTCTGGACTCAAGCTACCAATATCCTGCTTCAGAAACAAAGAGATGAAAAGCATAGGACACAGCACTAAAAAGAATATACAGGGCATTTTATGCATTCACTGTTGTACTTACCATAAGAAAATCTAGCTATACTGTATCTATAGACATATGCTTGGTAATATCAATTTAGGCCTGTTCATATGTAGTGCTGCTCAATAGTAAATCCTAAACACACTCTTTCAAAGTTCTGCAATAATCACATCCCTATCTCAAAGGTAATGTATAGGCAGGCCCCCTGAAGTCCTGTAATAAGTCAACCCCCTTCCTTTGAGTCAGAGCTAATGTCAGCTCCCTGAGGTCCTGTAATAAGCCCAACCCCTATCTTTAAGTATTAGAGATAATATAGTGACTTCCTTAGGTCCTTCAATAAGCCAATACTTGACTTTGAAGAGACAGGCTCAACTGTACAAGTGATGTTCACCTTGACACGTAAACATCCAATAGAATGGAGCATCTGGATTTCTGGTCCTGTTGGACAGACTAAATGCTTTTCTAGTCTCTATTGATTAAACACATAAAGATTATCAGAAGTTAAGATTTGGAGACAATGCACTCGAGGAAGTGTATTTATTATCAAAAAATGTGTAACACTATATGTCTGAATACAACAAGGTCTTCAACAGCAAAATTTCATATAGGATAGTCTAGTGCAATGCATCCCTATACAAACAAGACCATTTGGAGGACATGATCACATCACAATTGATCACTTGTATCTCACCGTAACATGCATGTGGCAACAATTTCGAGTTTCTAGGTTACATCTGCACAGTTCTATAGGAATTAATCAAAACATACTAAAATGTTAAATTTTGACAAGAAAATTTTGTTTTGAATCATTATATTGGAATTTTGCCAACTTTCTCTATAATATCTTTAGATACACATATTTTGTCAGTAATTTTTACACTTAATAAAACACCTATTGTTCATGGTCTCCTGAAGAGATATTGATCCTTAAGTACGACACAGAAATAGTGAAAAGAAAATTCTAATATTGCACAATAATTGGAATAAGTCCATATATTCAGAATAGGTTTAAACAGATCGAATGTGGAAAACGTTTTTGGTTACCTGCATGATTGTAGACGGATCTGATTTATTAATGTTAAGTCCACTTTACCATACTAATTTCAAAAGATTCTGGTCCTTCTTATTCACTCTACTTTCTGAACATCCTGGGCTCTTCTTGAATTAAATATTGTAAAGATAGCTTTTGTACATCTCCATTGTACGGAGAACAAACTCAACAAATCAAACAAACAGGAAAACCAAATGCATAAAATTGATAGTAACAAAAATGTCTGGCTGAAACATTTGTTGAAATTTTAAATAATTGAAAGTTTTATATTTAGAATGAAATTTAAACTTACATGAGTCATAAAGAAGAAGAATTATATAGCACTGCATCCATTCTGTAAGATGCTATCTGGTAATCTGGTTCTAGTATTACATCATAAACCATGAATGAGGATGTAGAAACAGTTCACTACTAATCAAACTAAGACCATGGAATAGATATCATAAAAAAATAATGAAAACCTATAAAACTGGTGCAATACACTGCAACATATTATTGCTTATATTACACCTTAACAGGTGCATGCTTATTTCTTTTAATTTCATCAGCAAGATAACAAAGTTAAAAACATAATTTCCTACTTCAGCATTTCATTTTCTCCTACAGGCATAAAAATATATTTATGGTAGAAAGACAAACAGTCCCTATGTTATGTTTATTGCACCTATTCACAGAAACACCCATGTCTGCTAATAAGCCCATTTATATCACATTTCTTTATTCTACAGGTATAAATGTTATAAGATGTATTTGTATTACACTATTCCGTCCCCACCCAACCCCCACCCTTTCCCCATTTTCCTGACTATTAGCTGTGTAATAAATATCTGATGAATATCTGTAATGTGTAATTGAACACAAGAATGAAAATTTCTTTCTCTGTCAAGCAAATGTAATGCAGTATCCATTCCAATAAAATCGGTTAACCAGTGAGAAATACTGCTGAACTTTTACTGTAAATGATGTGTTTACATGGAAATCCCTAATCAAAATGGGATAAAAAGAATTTGCTATCCAAGTGCAACTTATCAATCAATCTTAGGATTTGTCCAGAGCACTGATCGTGAATCCTCCATTTAGAAACTAATGGGTCTTCAGGACATGACTTGCCCTCAAAAACATCACAGAGTGTATGTCCACCGACTGATTCTACAGGAAGCTACAGCTTCTCAGCACATTCACAGATAGACAAGAAAATGTCATCTTTCCTGAAGATCTCACAGTAATTTGGTACTGTCGATTTGTGTATTGGTACGCTATGATGGATTACAGCTGATTTGACAAGCATGTAGCTATATTCCTCGCACTCTCAAAGCCACACTTCATCCAGATTCAATATCAGTCAGTAATCAGATCATTTGATGGGAAATGTGCTCGTGAAACCCAGAGCAAATGATAACATGATATCAAAATTTTAAACATACAACCAAAGTTTACAGAAATTTTTTTGTTTTTAAAGTTGTATTCATCTAATTTTTTTTTTTAAAGTTGTATTCATCTGTGTTGTTTAATCATGTTTGAAAATATTCTTCCACTGATGTGAGTTCATCCCACTTCACAATAATGTACCATCTAATTGTAGCCCTGCAGCAAATCTATATCGCCTGTAAACTGTGTCTATGGCCGATCTATACAGCCTGTAAACTGTGTCTATGGCCGATCTATACAGCCTGTAAACTGTGTCTATGGCATATCTATACAGCCTGTAAAATATGTCTATGACCGATCTATACAGCCTGTAAACTGTGTCTATGGCAGATCTATACAGCCTGTAAACTGTGTCTATGGCAGATCTATATCACCTGTAAACTGTGTCTATGGCAGATCTATACAGCCTGTAAACTTTGTCTATGACCGATCTATACAGCCTGTAAACTGTGACTATGGCAGATCTATACAGCATGTAAACTGTGTCTATGGCAGATCTATATCACCTGTAAACTGTGTCTATGGCAGATCTATACAGCCTGTAAACTTTGTCTATGACCGATCTATACAGCCTGTAAACTTTGTCTATGACCGATCTATACAGCCTGTAAACTGTGTCTATGGCAGATCTATACAGCCTGTAAACTTTGTCTATGGCTGATTTATACAGACTGTAAACTAAAGCTAAAGCAACATTAGTTCAGTCAACAACCCGGTAATCTGTAACTGTAGCCTAGTCTTCAACCTGTAAATTATGTCTATGCTAAAATAGCTGTCACAAAATCTATACCGCTTCTAAACTTTGTTTATGCTATACTTAACAAATTTTTGTCCACACCATGTTAACTATGACAATACTGAATTAACTGTGACACAGTCTACAGCCTGTAAACAGATTCTATGCTGAACTTACTGTAACCCAGGCTACAGCCTGTAATCTCTGTTTATGTTGAACTAACTGTTACCTGGTCTACAGCCTGTAAATTGTCTAGTCTGGTGAAACATTGAGACAATAACATTATGCACCAACTCTGTCAATCTGTGTCTGAGCAGATAACACCTTCCATGGGATTACTCTCTATCTTTGTTTCTCACCATATACCCTTTCAATATCTATAGGTTTTTCTCTCCGATATACTAGTCTGACATAAACAAGCCATATCATTCCCTTTGATTTTCGCAATACAACACAGACATCATGATACAACTGTCACCATAACTAGGACAACAGATTTTTTTTGTAAAACATGGGAACAATATCAATGTAAACAGAACAAGCTATAATTTTTTTTTTTGTGTGTTGAAAGCCGACAGTCTCAAAACTGAACGTGTCAGATAAGCATGCAAAGTGAAACAAATAGCATTCATAAATACAAACTCATCTGCTTAAAATTATCCTACATGTCTGTTCAAAGACATTCTCCCATGAAACCTCTATAACAAACAGAACCTGAGGAAAAAACTCTCACTGAGAAATCATCTAAGGTTTGGGATAATCCATTGAAGACTTTTAGTATAAAATGTAGGGACAGAGAAATTTCCTCCAATAAGTTTAGAATCAATGAATGTCCTGCACAAAACATTTTAAGTATTCTTCTTGGGTGGGCTTGTTACAAGGTATGGCTTATTGCAAGATAACTAGAGATATCTAATACAGTAAATAAATTTCATATTTTAAACTCAACAAGAAGTAATATCACTGCAGTGAAGCTGTGGTAAGCAATGGTAGTTACCCATAACAACACAGCTAATGTCAATCCACACAAGTAAAAACATGTTTCATACTTAACAATATTGGCAACATTTGTTACTTGTGCCTCATGTACTATTTTGCTATAAACTTATATTTTGAAGTGTAGCATATGTATTAACATCAGTCGAAGGAGCTACCACAAACACACATAGGTAACTACGTATGCTTTCAAAACATGTTTTCAGTAAGCTACAACGTGCCTAAATTTACATTCCTTCATTTCTCCTTCAAGATACACTTACAGCTTAACACAACATTTCGAAAATGTCTTACATTATTATAGGAACATGTGAACCTCACGCCACTGATTACAGTTACCTAACACCAGTTTGGAACAGCAATATATGTAAATTTTCATCTGCTGCCTTTTTTTTCATCAAACATGTTGTATGACCCCAAACGTTGAAATATTCCATCAGACACCTACTTGTGAATCAATAGTATGTTTATAATACCAAATGACATCATATTACCATCAATCCTCTTTATAACACATGTATGTTATTCATGAGAAAATAAATTCAGTACTCACAGGGACCTGGAATGCATGGACGGAGTCATCCAGGAACTGGATGCGAAGGTTGACAATCTTCCCCTTCCTGGGGGCCCCACCGCGGGGCAGCGAGTCCCCCATGGTGGGCCTTTTTAAGGCTGGGCTTTCGGCTGGTTTGGGAGAGGCTTACCTACAGCCATGTCATTCTGTCACATATCACGCCTGAAACACAGGTAGATCACATCAATTTATGTTTTCAAAAGATAGATGTCACAAATAATAAGAATATAAGGCTGATTAAGGAGAGAAAAATAAAACCTAAATAAAGCATTCAAACAAAAATAAATCTGTAAGAATTATTTCATTTTTTTTTTTAACTTTTCCTTACATGCCCCCTCTATCTTTTTCAAACTATTCAACATAATTGTTCTATTTCAGTAGGTAATTTATAAGTCTTCATTCAAATGGCCTCAATGATACAGTGGTCCTAAATCTGAACTATGGACTGCTTATCACATCCAAGGAAAATTTTCCTACGTATAGCTGCCTTCATTATATTATATCTAATTGAGAAATGAAATACAAGCTGTGTGACTCTGGGGTAATGTAATGCAAAGTTCATTGTGTACAAACAACAGCTGGAAACATAGCTAGTTCTGTTTCAGCTTCACAAAAATCAAAAGTTTAAGCAAAAAACCTAGTTATTTTACCTAAGTAAAAGGTGAATGTACCAAAATCTAGTTCATTCAAGGTCAACAGAAAGTTGATGCTTATTAACACATAATTTTCTGAAAATTTCTGCATGTACAGTTGAGTCCAGAAAAACAGATTCTAATGGAAATTTTTACAAAGTACATTAATGTTCCAATTTTATCACAGATAAATCTTAAAACATCAAGAAATTACATGTGTAATGAGAAGTTCTTGTAGCCAAGATCTATGGCAGTCAATATTCCTTATAAGATGACATGTATACAACAGAAAACTCTCCAAATGAAATCTACAGAACTCTGGACTCCCTTTATCTTATCAACACTTTCTTTCAACATAATACCTGTTCTGAAAATGACTAAATTACAATACTGCAAGGACTTTTCCAGCTATTTTAGGAACTGCTGGATCCTTTATTACAAAATGAGAAGATTTAGTAACTTTTTACAAAACATGGGTAAGAAAATGGAAACAAAAATTGATGGCTTTTCTGGTTGTTAATTTTACCCACAACTACTGTCGTTTATATAGGCAAGGAAGTCCTGACCCACTTCTTCATAGAAAAGCATTTCTTTTACAACAATCTATCAATGTTGAAAACTAAAATCCATAAAACTGACCATGAAGCTGATAACTATGTTTTTATTTTTGAATACATTACAAGATTTCAAGAACTTGATCAGTCTCTTCATAAACTACCAGTGTCTTGAATTTATTTCTTGCACACAATGAAACTCTCACTCTCCAGAAATGTTTCAGCATAGCCAAGCAGATGATAGAGTTTGCACGAACATGTACACTATATATTGAATAACTCTGCAAGGAAAATTATTTATGCTTGTATTTCATGACTATGTGTATTAAGTCATTGTCAGAACACTGTATATGGTGTTCTTTTGGTAAAAGCCTCTAAAATGTTCCATTTACTTTTGTTCACAGATTGTTTCCAAGATATTGCGGATGAATTTATAAGCTGCGGTCAGTTCAGTCAATTGTCACCATCTGAGCTATAATTTTCTACTTCCATGCCACAAGTGCTCTTCACTCTAACTCAATGGTCATTCTATAAAGCCAGGCTAATACCTTTAACCTTTTATAGAATAATACTTATATAAAGGCAAAAGACATTTGTAAGAAATGCTAAAGGTTATTCTGGTATCACAGCAACTGATTCAAGCACAATGCATAGCACCAAATATAGATCACTAGAGATTTCAGACAAACGATGCAAAAACATATATATCATTGGAGATTTCAGGTACAAGACCAAACAAACACAGCCAAAAACATACATCACTAAAGATTTCAAGTACAAGATCAGAAAACACCACACCAAACATAGGCCATTGGAGATTTCAGTGAGAAGATCAGAAAACACCACACCAAACATAGGCCATTGGAGATTTCAGTGAGAAGATCAGAAAACACCACACCAAACATAGGCCATTGGAGATTTCAGTGAGAAGATAAGAAAAACACCACACCAAACATAGGCCATTGGAGATTTCAGTGACAAGATCAGAAAAACACCACACCAAACATAGGCCATTGGAGATTTCAGTGACAAGGTCAGAAAAACATCACACCAAACATAGGTCATTGGAGATTTCAGTGACAAGATCAGAAAAACACCACACCAAACATAGGTCATTGGAGATTTCAGTGACGAGATCAGAAAAACACCACACCAAACATAGGTCATTGGAGATTTCAGTGACAAGATCAGAAAAACACCACACCAAACATAGGTCATTGGAGATTTCAGTGACGAGATCAGAAAAACATCACACCAAACATAGGTCATTGGAGATTTCAGTGAGAAGATCAGAAAAAACATCACACCAAACATAGACCATTGGAGATTTCAGTGACAAGATCAGAAAAACATCACACCAAACATAGACCATTGGAGATTTCAGTGACGAGATCAGAAAAACATCACACCAAACATAGGTCATTGGAGATTTCAGTGACAAGATCAGAAAAACATCACACCAAACATAGACCATTGGAGATTTCAGTGACAAGATCAGAAAAACACCACACCAAACATAGGTCATTGGAGATTTCAGTGACAAGATCAGAAAAACATCACACCAAACATAGACCATTGGAGATTTCAGTGACAAGATCAGAAAAACATCACACCAAACATAGGTATAAAACAAAGCAAGAACACACCATAGATATGCATGTATAATGCACAATTAATTATTAAAGAAATCATTGTTTTAATATACATGTTAATGGTCCAACTTTCTAAGACGACTTGTGTACAATGCTGTCAAAGCCAATAAAACACACAAAGAATTTAGATCTACTTCCATGTTTTATGCCAGGGAATTTCTATGGCTATGAACATCTTCAATTAGTCACTGCCAGTATGTCTTTGTGAAATATTATATTGATGACTCTATGGAGATCCCTGATATTGAAAAGAATCCAGTATCAGTAGGTGAATTTTGTGCATACTTGGTCTTGATTTTCCAATGATCTGTGCCTGGTTTGACCAAGCCCAGAGACTATACTAGGTGGCAAAATTTCTATAAGGAAAGCATTTATCTTTTTTATCTTTTTTATTTTTTTTTTTAACATGAATGCACATGAGTGTGGATATTTACAGTATATCAATAGACTTCAAGTACAAGACCATGTAAAGAGAGTAAATGTAAAAATTTTACACTGAAAATGAACCAAATGGAAACCATTAATTAAATGAAATAAGTACCACTATATTTCATAATGATAATATATCACAATTTTTCATGACAGCTTTTTTCACAAGTCAAGGTTCTTCATCAGTTCAGTGTTACCCTCATCGACCATGGAGAATTGTAGGTAGATGATTCGCTATCCAACCATAAAAAGTCACAGGGGAGGTACTATAAACGGCAATGTTTGTTATCAATTCTTAATGAGAAATAGACAGATCTTGGGCAATAGGAAGTCCTGGCAATGTTCTTCCTCAATTTTTATAACAAATGTGTACTTGCTGTATATTTCTTTTCTGTCATAGTGTCTTATGCAAACCTTGATACTCTAAAAACTTGAGATTCAGTATCATTTATTAATATCTTAATGTTCTGTAAATTCTGTAGAAAATCAGAAATTCCCTAAAACCAGATTTCAGTTCCTATGACATTCAATTCAGCAGGGTTTCTTTATACCCTTCTTCAAGCCTATCATTTGTGTTAAGACTTGCACATCAATAATAAACAGACATCTCAATACTGTCTTTCTTTGAAATACAGCATAATTATTTTAAAAACACTTCTTTTCTCTCTAATTCTATTAACTGCCAACAAATGGGATACATTTTTTTATCAAAAAAAAATCTGTTCACCTGTATCCCTTGAGTACTATTGAACCATTAAACATTCTGGGATTTCTGTTTAACCTCATGTAAAAACTATGTGACTGTTGAAAATAATGAATAATTATGAATTAGGCAATTTTCTCCTAATTGACAGTTCCTTTTTGAACTCCAAAAAACATAGAATGAGTCAGTTAAATAGCATGTGTGACTCATATTATTTACAAGATTCCTTATCATGGGACAAAATTTAGTGATTTATGTCTTCCAGAGACCTTTCGTTACAGTCACAATGACATTGTCAGGGATTCCCCTAGGCAGTGTGATAAGGATACAGGTTAACTCTGAATTATTTCCATTAGAAATTGAGGCTATCTTCATAAAAAAAGATTGAGATATGGGGCGGAAAAATTCAATATTAGAAAAATTCTGGATCTTATCTATGAGGAACCAACTACAAAAGAATCTGTTATGAATCACTAAAATCCACTTTGGGTATTTAAAAAAAATATTTTATTGAAACATGGACTTTTTATGGCAAATCATAACTTTGCTGGCGACAGACAAAGTAAATCCAAAATGATTTAAAATTAAATCAAGTGAAGATATTTTCAGCTCCCTTAAATCACTATAAAGACATATTATCATAATCAAAACTGATACATAGAATCTAGATAGAACAATACATTTATAAGCAAACAAAACAAGGATTTCAAAAGAACTTTGATACAATGAAATCCTCAACTATCACCAAAAAAATATATGTATGTCAGTTTGAGAAAAGATTAAACAAGAGCCAGAAATTATATTTTCTTTTACAACCTTAACAACACCACCAGTTTGAGAAAAGATTAAACAAGAGCCAGAAATTATATTTTCTTTTACAACCTTAACAACACCACCAGTTTGAGAAAAGATTAAACAAGAGCCAGAAATTATATTTTCTTCACAACCTTAACAACACCACCAGTTTGAGAAAAGGTAAAACAGAGCCAAAAATTATATTTTCTTTACAACCTTACGAACACCACCGGTTTGAGAAAAGGTTAAACAAGAGCCAGAAATGACATTTTCTTCACAACCTTAACTACACCACCAGTTTGAGAAAAGATTAAAC